TCTACACACTAAGAACATAAAGATTGTATACTGTATTAAATTATAAATGGATATTTTAAGTCTCACACACACATAAGAAACTGAAAATTAAATTATAGAATTGACGTTTGCCAGTTTGGAAAAGTACGGTTACTTTGTCACTGAAATTAGTCAGTGCGATCTCGATTAATATAAATCTAATCTTTTAATTGCATGTCTTTCTATGCGCGTTTCTCTCTTACGGTTGATCAAAAATGGTAAAAGTCACAATGTAAATCTACCTCGCATCGCTAAAAAGATCTCATGAATAAGAGGAAGAAGTTAAGAGGTATTAACGTGACATTTTATCTTATTGTTAAATTACGCCTGATAGCAAGTGAAAGGGAAAAACGATCAATGTCAATCCGGAGTAACTTCGAGAAAGACGCAATTTTAAGACATTGAATATTTTAGCAAGCTATTAAAAAAAGTACTGATAAATATATAGATAGTGAATGGATAGTGTTTACGGAATGCATAGTGTTTACTCAGTGGTTACAATGTATGACAGAGTCTGATGATTACAACTCACAATCACGTAGACTAGTCGTTTTTTCCCCCTACGGATACATCTTTTAGCCTTATTTCCAAAGACTTGTAACTGTGTAACTTGACAAAACAGTTAAAAATTATGAAAATTCGTTGGAAATTCCATAAGATAGCATGATCGTCAGATCAATTTCAACAAAAAGTGGACCTTGATCGTTTTTTCCCTGAAAAGAAAGTACTGACTATAAATATCGGAATGCATAGTGTTTACTTAGTTTACGTGCTTGTGAGTTATAATCATAAGATTCTGTCATACAATGTATAATCGTTTTTTCCCCCTACGGTACATCTTTTAGCCTTATTTCCAATAAATTGTAACTATGTAACTTGACAAAACAGGTAAGAATTATGAAAATTCTTTGGAAATTCCATAAGATAGTATAATTGTCAGATCAATTTCAACAAAAAGTAGACCTTGATCGTTTTTCCCCTGTACCCTTCAAGTAGTAAGAAAATCGAAAACTTAACACGATGGCCAGTGTTAATTTGATAGAATAAAATTATTACTTCCATGTATGCAAAAGAAACTAACATTTTTAAATCTACTTTAATCAAAATATAAAGATAGCTAATTTTAAATAAGATAAAAGTATCTTTTGAGAAAATGATCGATTAAAAATGACATAACGCTTGGGAAATTTTTCAAAATGAGTTAGTAAAGTTCAAAACAACTGCGCAAATGCAAAGGTATCGATTGGGCGTAATAAAACGGCGCTCGGGCTGTCTCGTTGAACGTATTTACAGAGTTTATGCTGCATTTTACAATCGGTCGGCGTATTTATTCGCCGAGTGAGAAGGAACGATGCTCATACGACGCTATAGTACGCCCTGATCGATTTAACGCCAAATGTCGCCGTGTTTTACACGCGGCAATAATGGTTGAAATCTATGTAGCCAATATTTCAAGCCACCCTTTCTCGCCTGCGCGTCCCTAACCCCCCCCCCCATAACCCCCACATGGATGGCATTCGTATACCAACGACATGTAGCCTTGGTTATTGGTCCGCATATGGATATCGCTCGATATTTTATATTCTACAGAGAAATAAAAGTATAAATGCAATCAGAGTCGACGCCTGACGTAAGAAATTTCAAGTATATTGGCGTGTCTCAACAATTAAAAATAATTAAATAAACATTGTACCGTTTTTTTGTTGTTAAACATTTATAAAAAGAACAGAGTAAAGAATTGTCTACCTCAGAAGAAATAAAAACATGATTCAACATCCGTAGTCAATACTTCAGCACAATTTTATAAAATATTCTATAATTAATTATCTTATTTTCTTATTTTGAATGTTTTGCGCTTTAAGTATTCAGAGGTGAAATAATTCGATAAAGTTAGTTCGAATAAACAGAATTTACATATTTTGGAGAAAAGAGGACGATCCGAAACACAGAGGAAGAGTGATAGTCCCGAGGGAGGAATACGATTCCCGAATGCCGACAGGAGAGAATCCCTTTGCAAACGACAAGTGTAACTTACGCAAGAATAGAGTGCGTCACGCAATGCGACGGCTTCAAAGATTACTTTTTAACAGGTACTTACTAGTTTTTCTTCACTCCCTTTTATCCAGCCGATTTCTTTTCGATATTCGCATGTATCGCTCTGTATATGATGATACATCTAATTTATATAATCTGCTAGTGAGTTAACATTGTCATAATGTTATTTAATTCAATTTAATAATTTTATATGTAATTGCAAATTTTTTAACGATTGTGTTAAAAATATCAAGATAGATTATAATTTCTCATAATTTTTAAATTTCCAACGCGTTAAAAATATCTGTAACAAATCTCCAAATTTCATTAAATTTTTTTTGAATTTAAGTAAAGAGAATAAAGTGTCTTAATCGAAAAATAATTACTGGCAACGTATTGCCAATTCAATGCAAAAGAGTGATTTATGTTCATCTATCAACTGTTTTCTTATAGATATATTGTATTAAATTTACTTAAGGGTACACGTTTTCGGGCAAAAGGACACGTCGTTGTAACACATGTGTCTTTACGAGAGTGTGTTCACGAGGCCGTAATATTTTAGGGAGCCCTCCCGGCCCTCGTTCTTTAAAAACTAGCCAGTGCATATGTCGACGTAGGCGACATAATGTTATCAAGCTGTCCAGAAAGAGCCGCCGCCGCCGCGCCGATCGCCGCCACGTAAGGACGAGGACCTCGGGGGACCACGTCCTCGCTCTCGCCCACTTCGTCCTTATTGATATACCGAATAAACACACTTGGCAGCTAGGCCAGGACGGCTTTGCGAGGCAAATAGCTTCGGAAGAACCCTGCGTTCGGAGGGGCAAATATCTTTCTTTCCTTAAAGTCGACACCATGCTCGACGCTGATAACAGCGGTTGTGATAAATGTTACAGCGTTTCATTATACAGAAAAGAAAAAAAGATAAACTGCTTTTTTTATAAACTATTTCCGTAGAAAATTGCAACCGAATTCTATTGCTGACTTTTATCTCGTGGAGAAATAACATACGCAATCACATTTTATGATTTGTACTAGATTAGAGTTTAATTAGACGTTGGTATGTAGTATGTATATTCGTAACAAAATTACCTTTAGCTTAATTTCTGGTCGAGAAATTGTTCTTTTCTTAATGTAAATTTGAATGAGACTGCTTCATTAAGTTTGTGGCAAAACTAGGTTTTACGATCATCTAATGTCTAAGGAAATGTTGTATGAAAAATTATATTTAAAAAATTGTACAAAAATTTAAAATTACGGTTAAATAATCTTTTCGTTCTACTTCTAAATACATTTTAGAATAATAAAGAGAAGAAATGCTAATATCCTTTCACATTATAAAACGCACTTTATAAAGTCGGACACGTTGCCGAAACATCATTTACCTTGTAAAATGGAATCTTATTCAGTCTCCGGTTTCACCCCTGTGGCTTTTAAGTTTAAGCTTCGACCCTTATCGACCGCACCGTGGACTTTGCGCACCTCGTCGAGTGCAGCGGTTATCCAGTAAATAAAGATGAATAGTTTCCCCGTCATCGCTCTCTCGCACACACACAATCGCGAGCGTGTGTGCGCGCGCAGCAACGAGACGGTTTTAAATTCCGCGAGTCAAAGCGATGTTTGACATGGAAATGTTGAGCGATGCATTAAACATGCCGCGCCGAGTGCTTCCCTCTCTCTCTCCCGCAAGATTGTAACCCCCTCCCCTCCCCCGTTTCTACTAGAAAGACGAAAAGTGCTCTCTTCGACCGTCTGGGGCCTGATCGTATAACCGATGAACTTATATAGGGCCCTACGATCACCCTCGCGTTGTTCGAGTTATATTTATTTAGGTAAATGAAAAGAACCACCATGGTTTCGCCAGTTCTCGGCCTTTATATTCATAAATGCGCGAAACAGTCTTTATACTCTGAATCTATGGACGATACGAAGAAAACGATGATTGCAATATTAAGTGCTCCTATTTACATTAAGAACGATAAAAATGTGCTTTTTGACCACGTTCTTTTCTGATCTTCTGTACTTTTCTTATAAATACTTGAAAAGTCTTTATAGCATGTACAATTTCTTTAAAATATATAACGCTTATTACTACTATATTATTTTCCATATTTCATTGCCACAAAAAAAAGATAATTATAAGGTTGCTTTTTTATCCTTGAAATGCAAACGGAATACAAATTCTCATAATTGAAATATCAACCAGAAAAATCAATAATATAGTGATACAGATGTCACCTCGAGCTATTTAATGTGCATATAAATAATAACAATCTCTCAGAATTTTGTAAGTTATCATATAAAGATATATACAGTGTTTAAATAGAACAGATTTAAATTTAAATAATATTTTATATTATAAAGTTGTTATGTCAGTGTGTAATTCTATGGTGCTGTATACAGCTCCAGATTGTTCGCAACTTTGTTGCTCGATGTAATATGTAAAGTTGTAAATCGCTCTCAGTATCATTATCGTCGGCGAATTGCGAGGAGCAGAGCACGACAAGCGTCGCGAATCTCCAAGTCGTGATTGGCGAAGCAGTTGTCGTGGGGCACCTGCGAGAGGCAATTTTACTGGACCTTCCCATAAAAGGAACTCCCCCCATTGTCCGGCAAAATGACATCAAGCTTATTGCATTATTTAAAGAGCCTCGCTTTAGGACTACTTTAAGCCACCGACCCACGATTGTCGGAGCACCGTCACTGACGGAGCACAAACTAGGTTTCTCACGGACGGATCGTGAGGGTACGTTTTACGAATTCAACTTTTTTTCCGAGACTTAAATTAATATGACGTTACGGATAAAATGAAATAAAGGCAGAAAATATTGCGATGCTGCATGATACTCTTAATTAGTCTTAATTAAAAACGTTTTAGTTTTAGTATAACTTGCATTGTCCTCGCAGAACGATGTATTTTTCCATATTACGTAGAAATTCGTTTCACTCACCGGGTGAGATGCCAAGCTTCGCGTGCATGCTACTGGGGCTTCTGTGATCGGGGGTGGTAACAGGGGCAGCTACGGGTGGCGACAGGTGGGGATGTGTCAGTGGCCCACCGCTTGTCGTCGTCGTGGTAGTCGTTGTGGCACAGGGATTTAAGGGTGATGTCCTCTTGAAAGACTGGTCCGTTCGCCACGAGACATCATTGTCGCCTATCCAGATTTTAGCTGCACAAGTAAAACCAGGTAAAGTTAGATACAAAAATACAACAGTAGCCAAAGAGACACAAAATTTAAAATAATAATTATTATCTTTCCCTAAAAATATGCTATAAATATATATAAAATAAAGCATATTGAGTATTTTCTCAATTCTTCTTGAAAAGAAGATTCTACTAAAGTGAATACTACACATATATTATCTTTCATAAACGAGAGAAAAGTATGCACCATCTCCCTCGGAGCAGACGCTACGGCAATATCAGATGGAAGATCAAATTGCAAAAGAGGTTCTCGAGATAAATTCTATGCCCCGCGTGTGTATTAATATAACGCACACCGGGGCGACTATGCGTGTGCAGAAAATGGCTTCTCTCCCCCGGATAGAACCCGTCGTAATTAGCGACCCTCCGAATCCCCTATTCCTGCCAGTTTTCCCGGTTTTCCCCCGTTTCCCTTAATTTCTGGGAACAATGCCCGGCTCTGGATGTTGTTCCAGGCTGCAGTGTCTAATTACACGAGGGCATACCGAGCTCTTCCTCTTCTTCCCAAATTTGTAAGGGCGATATATAGGGTGCATCGAAGTGTTTATAAACGTGACACACGAATATCTGCCAGAGCTATCAAAAAGCAAAATTTAATGAGACTGTACATTAAGAAATTTTTGCTTATCGATAAACTATATTTCATTTAACAACTAGCGCTTATATTTAGCAACTATCGAATATAAAAACGTACTAAAAACATTAATATGTAAATAATCAATGAAGTAGGTATCGTTAAAATTTTTTTCAAGAAATTTATTAGATTTCCTTTTCGGACTTAATCTATATCGACATCGTCCGTAAATAAATTTATTATTATGTCTCACGAGTGTTATGTCGCGTGCAAGATCCCGAATATCCATGTCATGTCTTTTCGAGCACCCCGTAGCTGGCGGAGATCTCGGATTTATGGAACACGCGAATACCGTATCGCCCCCGCATGCGACGTGACTCAGACTCGGTATTATTTGCTTGACGAATGATTTAGCCCGAAATACTTAGCTCGCTTTTCCCCATCACCTCTCCCCTACTCTCTTCTGCCTTTTCTCACACCCCCTCACCCCTAGCGGAATACTAACCTTCCTTCGTTTTATCTACCTCCTAACGATAACCAGAGAAACGCGTTGCTCCAAAGACAGAAATACAGTAACTAGAAGACGGTAGGAGAATAGGGAGTGACGGGTGGGTTCAGCAGGATGCAGGAGAGCGGCAAAGATAGAATGAGGGTGGTAACTGAAGCCTGTGGTTTCGCGAAAGAAAGAAAGGACGTTCTTCCTATCGAGAGGAAAAAGAGAAGCGGGAAAAGCGGTGGGGCTGAAGAAAGTGTAGCCGGCGCTAACTAAGGGCGTCGGCTAATCAATATCATCAGAGAATGGCCGCTGACCTCCATCTACCCCGCTAGAACGACCATTGTACGGTATTCCGCTTTTCCAACGAGCTTCATGCGCGAATACGAAATATTTTCAAGAAATAGTAAATTTAGAAAATATTTCATCCACAATGTAGCAACTTCGCGATATTACGATGTTATTGTAATTAATATTAATATAAAAAAACATTAAAATATTATTATTAATATGAAAGCATTATTATTTCAAAATCTTCTTCGATAATAATTATAACATTTTATAGCTAAGTTCAATCAACGTTTTGTGTCAAGATAATATTAAATTCTAATTAAATGGTTTATTAGTCGTTCGCGTTGGAACTTTCAAAGAGATATTAAAAGTTGCCTCAGTGCCATTTCCACAAGGATGGCTTGCCCGAGGATACAATTCAAACGTGAACCGTAGTACAGAGCCTTCCTTTAATCTCGTGGTGTTTGCATGGGCCCCTGATCTTATTCAACCCCATGGAGACAATCAAAATCAATACACCCTAAAGAACTAGTAAGCTCGACATGCGCGAGTTTGTGGAAAATTCAATTATGCAAGTCTACAAAAATTGTATCGAATTATCACTCGACAAAAAAGTTATAAAAGAATGGTCGATTATCTTATTGGCCGGATTTTTCAATCGACATCGTCAATCTTTCCGCGAATTGAAGAAAAGAAGAGAAGTGCATTTGGATAATTTCTTGACAAAGAATAATTTGGAAATGAAAGAGAGACACGTCCAATCTCTCTCACCCGATTGTCGATTCTACGATGGCTCGTTCATCGGCCTCATCTACGCGTCCCCAGCACCCTTCCTTTCTTTCTCGCCCAATGAGGGTCGCGGCTAAGTCCGAACAGAAATCAGTCCGCATAAACAGGACCATCCATTCCGCGATTCGCCCCTTCCACCCTTCGTAAGCCTTGCAGAGAACCTTCCCCCTCTTCGTTCTTTGCATCTCTCCCTCGTCCATTCGTCCAACCCGGCGCGAACTCCATTCACGGGTTTATCACTGTCCAGATAACAACGATTTACCTACAGGCGAACTTCTACGGTTGGGTTTCGGGAGGGTAGGAGAGTGCGTCTGGTGGGGTTGCTGGGAGAAGAGGGACGAGGTGAGCCCCATGGCAGGACCGTCGAAGAAGGCGAGACGGGCAGCCACCTTGCATTCGGGAGTATTTCACTTTAACGGCCCTCCGGGGGATTGGCTGACCCCGACTGGAGACCCTTCACCGTTTCGGCATAATGGACCTCTACATTACTTATTCGTCCTAGCCAATGTCCTGCTAGCGGTTCCGTTCCCGACTGCGGCGCGGACGAAGCTGTTCGTTTTCCACGTCCTATCATTCCTGCGTGCGATTAATCGTCGCGAGAACAAGACTATCGAGAATTGGGGACGCCGCAATAAAGAAAGTTATTCACATTAGATAGAAGATTAAACATAAATGCACGAATTAATTAAGCTCTAATTTTTACATTACATCAATAGCATAAATTAGAAGCCATAAAATATTCAAATTTATTCTTCTTAAAAAAAATTGTATTTTGTTGTTTAAAATTTGTTTACCAATCATTACTCAATACATTTCTATTCTTTGTTTCCTTTTCTAACAAAAGACGATGGAGCCACCTCTGCTGATTCCAGCTTCCGGGTACCGGGGCAGTAGCACGGAAGAACAACACGCCCCAAGCAAACTGCTTTCCTCCCGCGGTACTCGAAAGAATTGAAAATTCCTGCTCGTCCAAGGGTTGAGGAGGTCGACGATGGAGAGGGCGGTGGCCAGGGGGACGAAGAAGCGGGGCGAGGAAGCGAACGCGGATAAAGCGTTCGATATAAGATTAATGCTAGAGGCCGCCGACCGGTCCCGCGCACGTCGAGGACCGTTCAGCCATACACGAAGGCAATGGTGATTCCTCTTTGAAGGTAGAACCGTGGGCAGTGGCCAAATTGAATCCTGCTTAGGACAGAAGAAGCGTCGAGAGAAACGGGAGGACGAGCGAGAGCCGGCCCCGGAGCCCTTTCTCCAATAAATAAATCGTCGGCCGTCCGTGAGTCTCCGATTTTCAGCTCGAACGTACGGATTAAAATCGACCGGCCGATTTGTAGCGACGAACGCCGAAAGTAATTGCACGATTATCTTATTTCTGTATTCTTTTGGTTCCGTCTATTTTGATAGATAGAAAGTAATAACATAGTAAAAAAGTGAATATTTACATCAATTATTTTTCTTATCGAAATTTTATATTATACGAACACATCCTCTTATATTAGAAAATAGTACAAAATAAAATATTAAATTCTTACGTTAAAGATACGATAACCTCATTTGTGTGCTAATCACATATTTTAATCACGCGTAATCTATATCACACTTTCGCATACACATATAGTACACATATAACTTCAAAGATATGAATTTAATGAAATATTTGTTCTACTTTATGCGTATCGTGGATTATATTGTAGAGAATAACATAAACATATTTATTTTGTCATCTCATATTCGGTCTATAACTGTTAAATATAAAAATTAATTAAGGACGATATCATTAAATAAAATTAAAGAAGATCAAACAAACACTAATTCACTCAAGTATGCTATGATAAGGTAATGTAAGAAAAAGGCAAAGGTCTAAAATGTTTTCCGATACTTATTGTCAAACAAAGCAGATGTGAACGACCTTTAATCAGTCATTATGATTATCAAAAAAAACGCCATAATGGTGGGTGGGATGGAATATCACCCATCAAAATGATTTTTCTCGATCGTCGCAGGTTAATGATCACCATCGCTGTTTCCTTCGTAATACTAATATGTATTATCTGTCGACACAACTGAATGAACAAATACACATCATGTGAATAAAGAGATAACATTATATGTATGCGCCTTTTCTTAAATAGCTATAAAATACAATAATAATAATACTTAATTGAATACTTGTACATTCAATACTAATAAAACATTTTATAAACTTTTTTTAAATTATTTAATTTTTTTCTCATTAATTTTTTCTACTCTTGTCTATGATAGTGTGGAATATTTATCTAAAGCTAGCTAAAATGTCTTATCTATGTATCAACAACTTGCTTATCGTATTCTTCAAATATAATATACTATTACGCGTCTTCCTACGAATCATGAAAAATATAAGTGCTGGAAAAATATGGAATGTTATATATTATCAAAACATTATTATCATATATTATCATTGAGTCATGCATTCTTAAAGAATCATGTGTAAAATTTCTCACTTTGATCCTAAATCATAGTTGATAAAATTAGAATTGGAGTAAAGTCCATCCTATAAGCTAATATCATTTAATGACACGTTATAGTATATATTTGAGTATATAGTATATATACGCAACTACAACTTCTATAAATTCTTAAAATTTCCGATAATATCGTGGCAAAAAATACACGGTATAAGAAGATATTAATATCCCTCGGTATTCTTCAACGCGCAATTATTTTTCTATCCTTTCCTTCACTACTAAGAAAACTATTCTTTTAATTCCTTGTTTCCTCAGACTTGGTGAAAATTCGTTGCTCATGAGGGAAAAAGACAAAGGAGCAACGTTCGTCG